CTTCCCATCAATAGTATTGAATCACATTTCTCTCCATACTAAAGCTGCAAAGTTGTTGGATGGGTGAGTAAATGCTTCCAGCAGATGGCGATGGTGTACAATGTTTATTTCTATTGATTGTTCTGGTGCAGAAATTCTTTGCTTTATGCCTTTTAGAACAAACACTTGGTGTGTTTTGCTTTATTTTAACATGAACTAATGTTTTTCCTACAGGAATATTTCATGACTGGAGAACTTTGAGCTCTTTGCAGGAATCTCTTCTATATCCGTTCACTGATGGTCTCTCATGTTTTTTTCCTCCTCCAGATCCTGATGGAGGTAGAACGTTACACCTTCTATATGAGGAGGTGGACGAGACGGAAGTAGAAATTATTCACGTTCCATCTCCAGCACTGGAGGAGCGTAAAGCAGATGCGTACCGATATCCTCGCACTGGTCAGTCCTGTTTCCTTTTCCATAGTTTTTTTTTTTTAAGTCTTTTAGTGTTTAATCGTTGAACATCTGTACCTGTAAAGGTAGTAAAAATCCCCAGGCTACACTTAAACTGGCAGAGATCAGGACGGACCATCGAGGAAAAGTAGGTTCCTTTTCATCCGTTCTCCTTCTAATTCCAGCGTTTTATTTTGCTAACGCTTTGTGTGTCTCTGTTGGCAGATCATTAGCGCCCAAGATAAGGAGCTGGTCGTCCCATTTAACGACTTGTTCCCTGGGACGGAATACATCGCCAGAGCAGGATGGACGATAGATGGAAAATAGTAGGTGTCCTCAGATAAACGGCTTCTGAAGCACGGACAGAAAATATCCACATGTCATTTAAAATGTTCTGCTCTTCAAATCCTTTTACATCTCATGAACTTTCTCACAGTTTATTACGTAACAGTTACAAGCGTGTGTATTTCCTCTGGGGTTTTTAAAGCGATTTGCGATTACAAAGTAAGGAAGTAGAACGGGACTAAATAGACACATCGTCATGAAGAGCAAGGCACACAGCTGAAGGGTAAAGGCTGCAGATTCCCTTCCTGCAGACGGCGACCCTCTGACAACAGGAAGCAGAGAACAGTGGTTCTACTATGGAAAGAAATTTGTTCCAGTATTATTGAAAGCAAAAAGCATATTTCAGAAAGAGAAAATTTAGTAGCCTCGTGAGACCATCCTGATCTCGCGAGCTTTCAAGGTTTCACTCGCAGATCAGTCTGGAGACTCTCCG